TAAAGATCATATTGCAAGTTTCCTGCAGCATTAATTCAAAAACAATGGTTTCTATTCTAAGCCTATTAACAGATCCTTTATTTATATTTTCTTAACGAATGTACATACAGTACCAAAGCAAGCCATAAAATAAAAGGGGAGCAACTCAATATTAAAATGTAACAATGTTTAAAAGAAATTATCTCCCTCCTTGGGAAGCTGTCATCCGCGACTGTAAGTGACAGCTGTTACGTTTGTACAGGTAAATAAACAGCTGTAGTAAAAGATGTGCAACAGGTGCTTTTTATTGTTTCTTTCAATGATGTAGGTTGTGTGAAGCGCTAAGGCTTATCAACCCCAACATAAAATATTTTTTAATGAAAACAGTTTTTGTATTTTCTGATCGCAAGATCAGATAAATACATAGCTAACATCCACGGTCTAACACAATATTTCCCAACAATCCTAACAACGCAATGTAGTTCTCACTCAAAACTGCTTAAAAACCAGCAATTTAAAAGAAAGAACAAGATTTTGTTACAAGTGTCCACCAAATTTCTACACATTCAAACTTTAAAAGTAGCGTTGGCTTATGGAATTGTCAATAAATGCACACTCACAAATTACGCGGATGAATATGATTTTAATCAATGAAAATGCTATTTTTAGCGATATCGATGACCGAATACTACACAAATAAATCTGACTGTCGAGTAGTTGAATATATAGTTTCTACATGTGGGACTGTTTGGGCGAGAAGATTTTTGCTAAATTATTTACTTCAATTTTAAACAACAGGTTTACCCTGAACAAAATACATCGAAATTACCCTAACCCAAAATGCAATGGAAATTATAAATTACGAATTACTTGATTTTATTTAACCACTGTTGTTATAAATTGTCCGTGGTGCAGGGGTAACGCGCTCGTTTCACGTGTGAGAGGTCTGGAGTTCAAATCCCAGTCGAGTCAACACTTTTTTTTTTAAATTCTTTTTTTAGTGTCTTTGTTGGAAATAGCCACGATATGCAAGGATAAAGTGTGGCTATCATAAAAAATGAACATATGAACATAAATGATTTTTTAGCAACGGATATACATGTATACAATCATTTATAATCCATATGTGTAAATGCATGATCAACACCACACTTGTTCCTTATTATGTTATCGCTATTAGCGAAGACCCCCTCTAAAGGTATCTGTTCACACTTAATAACTATATGACACTGGTTACATTACCATGTCGATCGTGTTGAGCATAATTGTTTATTATACAATAATTGTAATAAAAAATACAGATTTTATGAATATTGTTTTCTTTCTTTTTTGTGTTTTATGTGCTATTTTAATACTGAGTTTTTACGTTCACTAATATTTTAAGAATTCAATTGTCATATTGACCGACGATTATATTAAGTAAAAACTTAACTGGAAAAAGTCAGTAAATTATGGTTAAACTTTTAATATTGTTACGAGCCAGGCGTAACGAGAAAGAAAAGCCAGCAACAAACTTGTAACAATAACAAATTTATTACAGAAAAATTATCAAAGAAAAATAAAATAACAAATTATGTTTACAAATACCTGAAGTCCAAATAAAAATGTAAATTACAAATGTCTAGTCTGATCCTGGAATGATCCTTTTTGAATAGCACAGTTAAATCTAAGTTAAATCCAAGAACACTTTAGAATAAATTCCCACAATAAAATCCACAAGAATAATTTTAACTATTTTAAAATAATCCAAGCTCCAATAAATCACTTAATTTCCAAGTTGAATAATACTCCAAGATAACTGATAACTTAAAAGATCACTGATGACTTAAAAGGTAACTGATGACTTAAAGATAAGAGTAATGAAAAATGTCTCCTTATATATATTAACTAAGAAGTTTCTAGAATAGTCTTCCATTTACTACAGTAATCATAATCTAGCAACTTCAACAATAAAGATCATTCCAGAAATTTCTATCTAAATATAATGCATGAGTTTTCCACAACAGTTAAGAACGTTCTAGTACATACATGTAGTTTATGTTCTAAAAATAGAACAATGACAATATTGGAAATACCAACTGGTCAGATATAATCTAAATACATGTAATATGTTGCATACATAACAATATATAATATTGTTTATTCTTAAAACATATACATGTACATTTGTATTTTTCTTTATCATTTTTTAAATTATCAATCAATTGAATAATTCATAAAATCTAATTTGTAACTTTGAATAATTCCTCGGCATCTTTACTAAACACGAATAACAAATTAAATAAAATGTTTCAAAGTTGATAGTGTCATATTAATACCATAAAAATGTACCTTTTTTCTCAATTATTGTACATATTTATTGTTTTTATCTGATACAAACGTATCAGTGTTTTATCATGTTTTATAAAACATGTTATTGTTGTTGTTGGTTTTTTTTTTTCGAATTGTATGTTTATGTATAATAATAATCAATAAATTTGAGAGTTGATCTGTGTTTATTAATTATTGTAACCAAACTAAGTGACAAACATTCATTTTGAAAAAAACTTATATAACTGTAAATATTTGTTCTATTCTGTAACGATTTAAACATCTACTCGAAAACCGGGAGAGACGGACAATAAACGTGTGGTACTATTCGCCGGTCACTAGTAAATTCCGGTCAAAATAGACCAGGAGAGACCGGGAATTACCGATTGGAATACACCCCTCTATAAATAGATTTTCGGAATATATAGGTCACCAACTCATCATTCTATTCAGCTTTCGGATACATGAACCATAATAACCCACTGTGTACTACAAAATGATAAATAAAAATACCCCGAAGAGCGCGATTTATTGACGGAAAAGGTTATTTCATATGAAAATGTTTGCATTGCGAAATTCTCAAGTTCGCTATTCATTGTATATATCGCGACATTTCAATTTTAATTAATAAAAATGGTTTTCCTGCGGGGAACGTTTTTAATGATATTAATATATTTCATTTAACTATTTTCAGGGGGTGGGGCGAGGATAAATAAACGTTTGTATCTGGAATATATTTGACAGTAATCGATTAATATAGAAGAAGGTCTTTGGAAACTGGTGACCGTTGATGACCGGAGAAGATCGAACATAAAACAATTATTTCTTTTTTAAGAAAATAATTAAATAGGCCTACCATTTTATGAATAATTCCGAGCAAAAAAAAAAAGTAAACACGCAAGTATTTATGATGGCAGATGCCACTACGAATATTTTAATTTTGTAGATTTTCAGTATAAACAATTTATTGTTTGTAACATTTTGAGATACATATTAAAGAAACATTGATCATTTTCAAACACATCATTCAAGTTTTTCCACCTTAAACGGTAACATAATTATAGAAAATTAAAAAATATCACGTAATAGTTTTTTTTTCTTAATTAGGTGTCTAATTCCCTAGAGGATTATCTGTAACGTACCAGCCAACGGTATTTATCCAGGTTTCCGAAAAGGTCAATTAACCAATCATGTACAGTTTACAGATCACATGCTCCTCCATGTACCGAAAACAGGTCACGTGCTCCTCCATGCCTCAAAAGTTAAACGCGTACCAATACCCTGTGGTCTCCAGACCGCAGTCAAGCACCCTCATACTGGTCGGAATAAACGGCTTTTATTATGTCCGACAAAAAGGCTCGAGAAGTTGCTGTCGCCCTTTCACATTGCGCCGAGGACGCCAAAAATAAACTTATACAGGAAAACAAATACAGATATACAGTACGATTAAGATTGCAAAGATCAGAAAATACCACAGAGCTTGCAGCCCTTTGATTAAAAACGCGCGCGTTCTCGTCATCAAAGATTCTTTATAGTTATACACAGAACCTTTTTGGTCTCATTAATATTAGTTGCTTCCTGGTTCATCACAAGCAGAAACAAAGTTGAATTTTCAGTGGTGCCATTATTTTATCAAGAACCCATTATTTCACCATGAAGAGAGTACATTTTTGTATTTGGCATCGTCCGTCTGCAACATTTTAAATTTCTTCTGGACCTGTATGCAGTTGATTGGGGGAATATGTCCGATTTGTGTAAGGTTGGACCCGTCCTCGATTTGGCGTTGAGCTTTTCAGACCTTCTAAAGGAGCTTGTTCAGAAGCTTTTCAATCCAGAGTCTACATATAACAAGACTGCTGTGTCTATGGCATGTGCTATTTCATTATAGAGGCACTATATCAAGAAACCCTGTCGCCTAGATCAAGGAACAACAACAATAATAATAATAATAATAATGAAAAAGAAGAAATAAATCAAACACTAAGATAGCTTGATTTCACTCGGCTCTCTCCATGTGCTAGGTGGAAATGGCTTCAGTTGGCTTTGTCATACTTTAACCTGTTTATAATCGCATGGATTAATGTTGGCTTCCGTAATAAACTGTGACAAACGGATTTAGAGAGAAAAAATCCTACTAGTGCCACCGTACGTGACAATAAGCCAAATAAATGAACGCCGTAATTGCTTTAAAATTCGGAAAAAATGGGCTACATATTCTGGGCTTAATGTTGAAGTCTTTACTATAGTGCCCTTGCTTGACATAATTTCAAAAATGGGTCTGAGTATTAACTATTAAATATAATAGAGAACACTACACTTTGTCAAATAAAGCGTGCCATACGACACAATTATTTATCAAGCAAAAGTTGTAAACAGCGTGTTATCAGTAAAATCCAGGTAAATATAGATCTAGTAGTAAAAACGTTTATTTATTGATTAATTTAATTGTTAAATAAATTCAAAATTAATTTCATTCAACAACTTCATTTATTCAATTATTTATCTAATTCAACCAAGTCATTGATAATTTTATTTGTTTCACGATTAAGCATTTAAAACATCGCATGCGACTGTCTGTATACGTCCCTGTGTATTTATCAAACAAAGGTGACATTTGGTAGGAAAACGTATGCCTTGACCTCCAACGAACCTTGACGTAGCGGGAACTGTCAAAATTAAACCAATCAGAACAGTTTATTTAACCATGTGATCCAGATCACGTGGTCTTGCGCGCCTGTCAAACAAACGAGGCTTCAAAATCTTTGGCAGCCTCGTGGTGTTGTGAAAGTTAAAATTCGAAGGAAGTAGCGATATTGCTTTTAATCATTCACGATAAGCTTTGATTTTGAGTGAATTATTGCTCTGGATATAATGCGCCCTAAAAGAGGTAAGACCCTTTCGCTGTTTTTGTTCAAAACCAAAATTTTACTTGACACTTGTTGAAAATGCCGGGAAGAGCACGTGGTCTAATAATCAGGATTTGTCAACTTTCTTTCCTAAATCTACGAAGTACATAAGAGTGTCATAGCAATATTATGATTTCTAATGTGAAAATATATTGGTTTGTTCTAACTCTGGTGAAAGACAAATAAAATTAGGCCTGTAATCTGTCTAAAAACTTTTGACAGATTTCCGCGCCTCCATGTTTTTCTTTGTTGATATCGAAGTTGCACAAGGTTTATGAACTCATCCCTCGTGTCAGCACTTTTTTGTTCAACAGAGTTGCGCAACGTTTTGACATCATATGAATTTAAAATGAATTTATAATAGAACGTTTGTATTAACGATATTTATGTAGTCGTTAGACTAAATGAATAATTATGATGACCTAGTTTCGGTGTTGTCAATGCGCTTTGTCAATGACGGTATTTCCCGCGCAACAACGATGAGCTATTATTAGTAACATGCTTTTTTGTATTTTCAGCAAGAGACATGGAAAATCCTTGGAACACATATGACAGTGAGGGTAAAAGAATTATGAATTCAGATGATGTTCCAAGCTCCAAGAGGAGAAGGGGAAATCTTGCCAAAGACAGTGTTCGAATCCTGAAGCAGTGGTTGTATGATCATAGGTATAATGCTTATCCAACTGATCAAGAGAAAGTTTATCTGTCAAACGCTGCAAATTTGACAGTTTTGCAAGTTTGTAATTGGTTCATCAACGCTCGTCGTCGTATTCTTCCTGAAATGATCAAGGAAGATGGGCATGATCCAGAACAATACATGATTACACGAAAGCATAAGCAATCATTGCTTGATAGATTTGATGAGAGAATGATCAAACAGTCTGATAGTTCATACGCAGACTCTGATGTAATACCATTTAAAATTGGTCGTCTTGAAAGTGTGATTACATCCTCATCATCGCCAGAAATTGATGGTTACATGTCCGATTATGAAGCTTCTTCATCAAGTGACAATTTCTCTGAATCGGAGGGAAGTGGTGATAGTTTACATGGAGTTCATTTCGCTCGTCACCTTCCCGGTCAGGTTGTTGCGCAAAACGGCCTATTAATCTACAAGCCTGACAGTGGGTCTCAGTCTGATGGTCAGAGTGAATGTTCTAGTGGCAATACACCCCCTCCATCACCGCCAACATCAAATCCAAATGTGATCGTCAAACCTGTGGAGGAAGACCGGTTCCGTCCTTTCTTTATGTTGGTAGATGTTGCCATGAATGAACTTGAGAAGCAGAAAGAAAGTGAATCAAATTAACTAAATTTTTCAAAGAAAACGTACACACAAATAAACATGAAAACTTTACAATACAAATCAGGATTACTATATGCAATTCATTCCATTTGATATGTTGCACTGACATAAGTGATCAATGCATTTGAAACTATGCATTATGAAACTGTTGATGGATAAGTGGATAAAAACAGTTTAGTGATACTGACATGCCGTAAAATGTGTTCAATATTTTGTTGATTTTTCAGAACTATGCATTTAGTTGTCTATTGTTTTGTTATGTTTTTTTACTTTCACCCCTTTTTTCACAGTGCTACAGATAAAATATCTTTTCAAGTAATTGGTTATCTGTCATTTATCATTAACATATTGTGGTTCCCATAAGCTTGCTTTTACAGAGCAGATCTGCTGATAATATCGAACTGTTATCTTTTCAAGTTTAAAACAATGTTGAAATTGTTATCAATTAAGCTGATATAAGTTGATGGTGATCTTTTTCTTAAAGTTTTATTTGTGCTGTCAAGAATAACATTATTTTGAGTAAAAAAAATATTTGTTTATTTCCATTTATAATACTTAAGTTAAATTTGGTATTTCTCAAGTATTTTCTTATTAAATGATATTTTCTTATGATTTATTTACCAAAACTGTTAAAAAGTACTGGTAATTACATTTAATTATAATTTTGTCTTACTTTAAAGTAGTTGATCATGAAATTATTTTATGAATGTGAATGATATGCCATAAAATTGAATTAAGTTGGTTGTATATTAAGTGTAGGGCAGGTTGCATCTTTTATTGTGACATTATATATCCCTTTAGGGCACTTGGATTAATTTATTATAACAGGTACGTTTGTTCAAATCCTTAATGTGAAGGGCTTCATATCATACTAGGGTTTTTAATTCTTTCTCAGGTTTGTCAAAACACTTGCTTTAGATATTAAAGACTTGTTTTTATTATGTTAGATCTAAGTTTTTCTTTCTCTAAGCATAAAGTGTTGATTGTGTATAAATAAACAGGAAGTTTGTCTAGCATATTAATCTCCTGTGGGTGTTATTTACTTGCTGGGATATTGTTAAATTCAATCAATCCTAAATATTGATTTCTATTAAACAGGAAGAAATTTGGGATGTTTTTTTTTTATAAATAATTTCTGATTTATCAACTCAGAGCAACAGATAAGCTTTAAAAGTGAATTGGGTATTACTCCATCATTTCCTTTGGAATTGGGTATTGGCTCCATTTAATTGAGTATTCCAAAACTCGATACCCTATGATTTCAAGATCAATTGGGTATTCAATTATGACGATATGAATTTAATGGTTTCAATTAAATTCAATATCAATGAAATTTAAACTGTTTTAAAAAGAAAATAGGATTAACAATTTACTAGAACTTTTCACAATTGTTTTATTTTTATATATATCAAATGCTCATGTTATATTTCATTATTTTTTTAACAAGTTCGTTTTCTGACAGATTTTTACGACTGTTTTGTTTCAAATCATTTTTCCTTTTGTACGACGCCTGATATTGCTTTCAACGCGTCTATTGATACAGCTGGGACCTACTTATTGACGGTCTTCGCAAAATCAACGGTCTCTGCCGATCTGTAAAGACCGTCGACCTGAGTAGACAAATTGACCGTCACATGCTTTATTAATATGGCTTAGTCGGTCTTTGGAGACCGGGGACCGTCGAAGACCGGAGAGCATTGATTCGGGAATATTCGGATAGCATGCATATGGATATAATTTGTCCAAAACTACGAGCGTACGACAGATTAATTTTGCGGTGATGAAAATGACAATACGCACGGGTTTTTAAGACAATTGCGTATTTTATTTTTTTAAATGGGTTTTGATACGCATTCTTAAAAAAACAATTGCGTATTTTATAAAATTAATTGCGTAAATACGCAAATACGCACCTTATCTGTTGCTCTGTCAACTGTACTTTTATGATCTGTGTTGGGATATTAATAAGAAATTGCAGATTGTTTGGTTTTGTTTTGGTATCTAATTGGGTTTGATTGTAAATTTAGAAATTATGTTTTTGATTTGAATATTTGCTATTTGGGTTGGAATGATTATTTTTAAACAAAGCAAATAAAGTGGTAACTCCTGGGACTTAACATATTTTAGTTCCTTTTGTTCTTTCATTTTCTTCTGTCAGATGGCTTTAAATCAATTGATGGTTTTATAATTGCTGTTAGTATGGTATATTGATATGAAATTCCATGAATTAAATTTGAAATATAAATAACTTGTTTTCTTTAAATGAAAATTATTTTTTAAATTGCATAAAATATAAAAAGTTTTTGATCAAGTCAACATTTCCGATAACTTGCTAAGGATTTTTACTGACATTTACATTGGTTATAAATGAGAGTTACTGAATATTTTTGTGAAGGTAATATAAAATTGGAAACAATTTTGACAAAATTTAAAGTTATTTTGACTAACATTTATTTACACTAAGATTGGCATATATCTATGTCATCAGAATTATTTTCAAGGATTTTGGTAGCATAACCCATGTCCATTGAATTAGGAATTTCAGCGATGTTTAATTAAAAATTGGGAAAACCTGCACAACTGACATTTTGCAGTGATTAAATGAATGAAAACAATCACTGTCTAGGATCATGGATGGCATCTTCAAACATTTAAACACTATAACAATGAAAAAGTCCATATTTTCAAAGATTTTAGAATCTTTCCTTAACTAGTTTCATTTTGTACCTTTCAATCATGAATTTTTCTTGTGGATTGGGAAAATAATATACTATTTTCAATTGGGGAATATGACTGAATATCAGCTTTAAAATAAGCAAAAAAAAAATCCCTGCACATTGAAGTTACATTTTTTGCCCTTGTGCCATCAGGAGACTGCCATACCTCAGCGAAGCTCTTGATTTATTAGAAATAATTTGTTATTGGATCATGAATAAAATATGTTGGCTTGGGAACTGTGTGTTATTTGAAATAAAAATTATTTTAGGGTTGAAAAGAGTTCTAACTGCTCTGTACCAGGAAGCAAATTCGTGGTTAACTTAGGATTTATGTCCTTAGATTTATCTGTGAAAATTGTCTTTGTTAAAAAAAATGTGAATACTGTTGTACATTAAATATATGTGTGTCATGAATGAATAGAAAGTTTTCAAAGTATTACAAGCTAAAATGATTGTATGAAATGGTTGTATATCATAACAATACATATTAAAATGGCAAGTGTATGTTTAACTTTAATACACATTTTGAAAGAGTTCAGAGCCTAAGGCTTTGTGATGCACTGAAGTTTGTACGACATGTATTTCTGTACATATTTTAACGAATAAATGTAAATTTTTCAACCAAAAAAAGAAGCAAACTACATTTTCATCATTGTTTTAAATGATGCAAAATTTCAGGTAAAAATTACTAGATCTCTTTAGGCTGCCTGCTGATAATGATCATCTATTTGTCATATTTTCTTCTTGAGCTCTATCTAATATGTTACAAGAGCTGTCATTGATTCAGTCCAAAATTTTTCAATGAGTTAACAACATTTAATGACAAATACCAACGATACATCAAATTGTAAACTTTTTAATCTATATTTTACTTTCCTTCCTGTTTACATGATTTCAGCAGTCTACTTGTGTTGTGTATAAAATGATAATGTGTATTGTTTACAATAAATGCCATTGGCATGGGTTTTTTCTGATCATCTCTTCATTCTTTTGTAATTACGGCTATGGAAAAAATTTGTAAATTTAAAAGTGATGTTTCAATTAAGTAAGTAACAAAGTTGTGTCCTTTTGGCAGGGGAACATACTTTGAAGAAGTTTGTTTTGGGTGATTTTTTTCATTTCTAGAAATTTAATAAAAAATTTCAGATCTGTATTGTTTACTTGTTAACAGACAAATAACATTGATCTTGTTTCTTTCTATGTCAGCTCTACATGTAACTATTGTATATTTCAAAATTATATGTGTTGCAAAATGATTGTACATTACAATTTAAAACAGAAATCTGTTATGTGCCTTAAATGTTTATAATTATGGAGACCAAATCATGAGTAGATTTTATACTTTGTTACCAAGTTTCTTGTATGTACATTTGACTTTTTGTTAGTATTAAATTGTATGTCTGAAATAATATGAACATTTTTAATAAAAAATATAGACATAATTTGTATGTGGTATTTTGTTTCTATACATGTATATGAATATTTGAAGTTAACCTAATATGTGACAGGAATGATAATTTAAAATCAACAGCTAAAAAAGTTGCCCATTTTCTGCTAGTGTCTGAATAACAAGGTTGACTGAAATGTTATAAAAAAAAACAAATGTTCGTGACTAAGCATGGCATTATTTTGTGTAAAATTTGTATTTTACAGTCAATGAATTTAAGATTTTGAATTTACTAGCCGAAATTCTGTTTTGAATTTATTCTACTATATATTTAACTAAATTTTCTTGCAATTTTCACTGGCCCGAACTATTTTTCACTGGCCATGGGCCACCGTGCCAGTGAAAAATTCAATGACTGTTTTATATTGAGAAACAAGCTGTTTGTTTGTTTACTTGTAATATCACCCAGGAAACTTTGTCATTGACTGACCAGTTCTGAGACAACATGGCCAAATAAAGTCTCAAACCAAGCATTCAGCTGACATTGGTCATTACTGATTAGATTAAATACTTGTTGCATGAAACAGAATAATATGAAGTTTATTACTGGTCATTCAACTGGAGCCATGCTTGTTGAAATGTCATGCCCAACAGTTATGTTCATTTGCAACTGCACAATTGGTGTTCTGTCTGTCCATCTACCATTGGCAAGAAATAGTGACTTCAATATCAACGATTGTTTCTGTTGCAATTATGATGTTTTCTTGTTTGTAACAACACATTCAGTAAAAACCATGCCAGAGTTGTAAGCAAATAATAACTGCGTACTATGTACATACTGTAGAATTTGGAGGAATATTTTTCACCATGTACCTTAAATGTATAAAACCTACACTTAGATAGCAGGAAATTAACATGGAGAGATGAAATAATTCTTTTTCCAACCTTGTATATTGTTGACCCATTCAGGATTGTATATTATGCTTTTTGACAAAGTGTCAGACCTTGAGCAATAGGAGAATCTATTTTTAGCCTCAATGAACCTGATCAACCTAAAACCACTTCCAGTGAAAGGTAACAACAAAATTAAAATATCAGTCAATATATGAAGGTGTTGCAAGTAAGGCTCCCACGTTTACAATTTTTTGTAAACGTTTACACGATTGCTAATAACCGAAACGATACCGTTTAAACGGTGGTACCTCTATGTACTATGCACACCATGTATTTGAGTAACCAAATGATGTCTTTCTTTCTATTTTTTACACATGTACAAATAAAGAATGTTCAGGGCTAATCACGCTTGAGTCAGCACACACTTTCTGCATTGTAACCCCATTTTTTACCAAAAATGTATTATGTCACGAGCAATTTTGCACCGTAATGCTGTGTGGAGGGTTGTAAACACATATTTTCCGTTTGTTTACTTTGGAATAAACAACTAGAATTGATAAAATCCATGATTACAGGCAATGATTAAGAAATTTTGTAAGACAATATGGTCATTTCGATTAAACGGTAAACAATATCGTAAACGTTTATGAATGAAAATCGAAACAAATCCGTTTAAACGTATAATCGTGGGGGCCTTAGTTGCAAGTGTAACAGACAATCGGCAATTGTATATTTTAAATCTGTGATGCATTACAATTTCCTGCATAAATAATTTTCCTGTTTTTAAAGCAGCATGCCTCGAGATTCATGCTAAATTTCATATATTTTGAACATGTATTTAAAAGTATAATGTTGTGTAGTGAACTAACACACTGCAAACTACACTTAGAATCCACAGAGGTCAAAATATGGAAAAATACCCCTTATTGCATTGTCACGCAGTAGAGTTATGGTGATAAATACTTTTAAAAAGTCATTATTTGCACACAACATGTTAATTAATACTTGAATTTTTTTCATTTTCTTAAAATCTGAGTACATTTTTGTCAAATTTGATTTTCTTGAAATAAATTGGCTGCAGCCTAAAGTCACAAGTTTTGTGTTCAGAACTGGATGTCCACAAGAAAATTATGACAGTGTAAGTAATCTACCACCCTAAGTACAAGAGGTATTTGTGATAATGATGAGCTATTTTTGAATTCATTTAACAAGTCCACCCTTACCCTGCAAAGTATCTTAAATGGACTTGTCTGAACAAAGCCATTTATCATAAGGGGCAGCATGGCCAAGTGCTTAATTGGTTGGACTTGTAACAGAAGGATACAAGCTGTGTGGATTCAAACTCAGTCAGGGGCAAACTGATGTTTCAAAGAGCAAGAAACTTTACACTCATTGCTCAGTACTGATTGGTTCCAGGAGCGGATTTGAGTGTGCCTATACACATATCTTCAATTCTGTATAAACAAAAACCATTCATCTGTAGGTAAAACTTCAAAATAACTAGACTACTGAATTAATAGCAAACAGTTCAGAACATTAACAGATGGCACATATATACAAGTATGCTGGCCTAAATGTGCCGGCTGATATTAGTCTGCAATGGTTGCATGGGTAGAGTCTGTTAACAACAGCTGGCTTAAGGTTAATGAATACACACACATGCATAAATCTGAAATATTTCTATGATAACTCATAACTGATAAGCCCAGTTGGTAAGCTCCTTATCCTTTATACTCATATCACTCAATTTAAAGATTTATGTTTGCAGTAACTAACAAGTACTGGTATAACATTCAAAAGCACTGATTAAGCCACTGTCCACCAGTACTTTGATACAAAACCAAACCTATTTTTCGAACTTACAAATCAGAAACAAAACTGATGTATTTTAAATAATTTATTTACATTATTAAAATAAACAAAGAATAATGATACAAGAAACAAGAGGGCCATGATGGCCCTGAGGTCGCTCACCTGTATTATAGGCCCCCGGAGCGGGGCCAGTTTAAACCCCAGGGATTTTATTTGAACAAACTTGGAAGACACCCATTAGAAGATGTTTCATGATGTTAAGTTTTTACTACACACATATAATGAAAAATAATGACCTTCCCCCTTTCCCTCCCCCCCCCCCCCCCCCCCAGGGCCAATTTTCACCCAAGGGCTTTTATTTGAACAAACTTGGTAGACACCCATAAGAAGATATTTCATGCTAAACATCTAAGCTCTAGCTCATTTGGGTTTTTTAAAAGAAGGATTTTTTTAAGTTTTTACTATACACAAAAAGAATGAAACCCCTTGGTAGGGGCCAGTTTTGACCCCAGGGCTTTTATTTGAACAAACTTTGTAGACACTCACTAGAAGATAATTCATGCTTGATATCTAAACTCTAGCTATTTTGGTTTTGTCAAAGAAGATTTTTTTAAGTTTTTGCTATACATATATAAGGAAAATCAATGACCCCCGGGGCGGGGCCAATTTTGACCCCAGGGCTTTTATTTTAACAAACTTGGTAGACACCCATTAGAACATGTTTCATGCTAAATATCTTAGCTCTAGCTCTTCGAGTTCTTTAATAGAAGATTGTTTAAGTTTTTACTATATGCATAGAAGGAAAATCAATGACCCCCGGGGCGGGGCCAATTTTGACCCCAGGGCTTTTATTTGAACAAACTTGGTAAACATTTATTAGAACATGTTTCATGCTAAATATCTTAGCTCTAGCTCTTTGGGTTTTTTTAAAAGAAGATTTTTTAAGTTTTTACTATATGCATAAAGGGAAAATCAATGACCCCCTGGGGCGGGGCCAATTTTGACCCCAGGGCTTTTATTTGAACAAACTTGATAGACACTCAATAGAAGATGTTTCATGCCAAATATCTAAGCTCTAGCTCTTTGGATTTTTAAAAGAAGATTTTTTAAGTTTTTACTATATGCATATAGGGAAAATCAATGACCCCCTGGGGCGGGGCCAATTTTGACCCCAGGGCTTTTATTTGAACAAACTTGATAGACACTCAATAGAAGATGTTTCGTGCCAAATATCTAAGCTCTAGCTCTTTGGGTTTTTTAAAAGAAGATTTTTTAAGTTTTTACTATATACATATAGGGAAAATCAATGACCCCCTGGGGCAGGGCCAATTTTGACCCCAGGGCTTTTATTTAACCAAACTTGATAGACACTCAATAGAAGATGTTTCATGCCAAATATCTAAGCTCTAGCTCTTTGGGTTTTTTAAAAGAAGATATTTAAAGTTTTTTCTTTCGGTTGCCATGGCAACCAGAGTTCTGCATGGAATTAAATTCTTTGAACAATTTTCAAAGGTGACCACCAAAGGAACATTCCTGTGAAGTTTGGTTGAAATTGGCTTAGTGGTTTATGAGGAGATGTCATTTAAAGTAAAAGTTTAAGGACGCCGGACGGACGGACGCCGGACGAAAAGTGATCACAAAAGCTCACCCTGTCACAAAGTGACAGGTGAGCTAAAAATAAAACACGTTGTCTACACACAATTACTGTGACACTATTTCTTTTTATCATCTAAAACTGGTGGTTTGTCTAGTACATTATCTATAATTCCAAAATCTTTCGCTTCTTCGGGAGACATAAATGTATCTCTTTCCATTGTAGTCTCTGAAAGGAAAATATGAAAAATATGTTGAAACATCAAAATATATATTGTCATCATTAATGAAAAAGATTAACAAATGCTAACACTGATGAATCTTGACAATAGCTCCACATTTTTTCTTTGAAGGTGGAGGTGAAAAAGTCTAAGCCTGCTGGGGGGACCTGAATATACTGATGAGACCAGTGCAGACCAAGATCAATGTTCCCAATTCAGTTCTATGCTACATGTACATGTATGTACATTTCAGGGACTATACATGTTCTTTTCATGAATGTTACCACTTTGTGAAAAATGTTATCAATGTACATACAGCATTACACTAGGATGCCAAAAAAAAATTGTGCTGAAAAGTCATAGAAAACTTACAATAATTATTGATTATTCATTTAGAGACTAAACCTTCTTAATATGTATTGCCTTTGATCACAATTTTTAGATGAACTAACATAGTCAAAAGAAAAATGAAACATATGGAACATTTCCCGCCTAAATTGTGAGGAAAGAATCCAGTTCTACAATGCATTATTTCTGATATCTTAGAAATCTGCAAGATAGGCCAGTTTGAGAATAATCAAAAGATTTTGAAAAGAAAATCACTTCAAAAACTATAGCAACATTGGCACACAAACACAAATATATTCAGAATTCTAAAATTAAGCATTACCTATAAGATCTACAGGTTTTCCTGTATGTTTGGCATAAATGTTGTTTAATCTTGTTTTAATACGCAGTATCTCCCGCGCCCTTATCTGTATATCTGTAGCTTGACCCTGAAATCAATGAACATGATAAAGTAGCCTACATGTATATTATATAAATAAACTGTGCTCCATTGGTCAAAAACTACTACCTTATAATACAAAATTTAACGACACATTTATCTGTGGAATACAAGTTCTAACAAGGGAAGGTTTGTTTTGTCTTTAAAATGGATAAAATGCAATAAAATGCAAAGAATTATTTCTAAATTTATAAAATAAATTCTTTAATCTTGTACATCAAGGATTTATCTATCAGCTCTTAAATTTGGAAACAAGTTGTAATAGAGGAAAAATGCATCATTTTTCCTGCATAAACATCTACAAAAGTATGTGGCGGCACTTAAAGCCCACAGGTCAAGCAATTTCATACCTTCAAGGGTTTTTGCAAATTTTAATGCATGAAAACAAGATGCATAAGGGCTATTCTTGAATAATAATGTATTTTCCTTATGTTTGATTTTTTTCTTTAAATTTGTTAAATCAACTGAAAAATTTGTTCATTGGACCTGAAATTTGATTATTCATCTGTAGCTTTAATCAATCTTACAATACCATAAAGACTGACAATTCTTACACTATAATAAGTATGTATCCTGCTGTTCTACTAAAGTCTTGAACTTGGTTGCAAACACTATCAAGAGTTTCAAGCAACCCTTGCATTTTGTTTAAAAGAAAACAAAATGACCGTACAACTCAAGATTTATATTCTTAGTGCATGCTGATTACTTTTGCAATTACGCTTCTCTTATGCCAGTGTATTAAATATTTACAGCTGATTTAGCTCCCATTTTTTCCTTTAACATAGCTATCCTACTTTTAGATTGATAGATGACCTTGACAGTGTTAATATGAGATATGATTAAAATTTGCAAAACATTTAACCACATATAAAAACTAGAACTGTGTCCAAAGGACACGGATGCCCCCACTGACAACATATATATGGTATATAGTGAAAAAATCAACAAGGGGCCATAATTCTGTTAAATTTGGTCGCAGCAAAAATTCCTTCCTTTACTACCATCTACACATTAACGTTGTTCATCCCTGGAAGTTTAAGCAAAATCTACCATCCGGTTTAAGAGGAGTTGCGTTCACAAAATTTCTATATGGTATATAGTGAAAAAAATCAACAAAGGGCCATAATTCTGTTAAATTTGGTCGCAGCAAAATTCCTTCCTTTACTACCATCTACATATTAACGTTGTTCATCCCTGGAAGTTTAAGCAAAATCTGCCATCCGGTTTAAGAGGAGTTGCGTTCACAAAATTTCTACATAGTATATAGTGAAAAAATCAACAAAGGGCCATAATTCTGTTAAATTTGGTCGCAGCAAAAATTCCTTCCTTTACTACCATCTACATATTAACGTTGTTCATCCCTGGAAGTTTAAGCAAAATCTGCCATCCGGTTTAAGAAGAGTTGCGTTCACAAAATTTCTACATAGTATATAGTGAAAAAATCAACAAAGGGCCATAATTCTGTTAAATTTGGTTGCAGCGAAAATTCCTTCCTTTACTACCATCTACATATTAAGGTTTTTCATCCCTGAAAGTTTAAGCAAAATCTGCCATCCCGTTTAAGAGGAGTTGCGTTCACAAGATTTCGGGAAGTACGGACAGACGGACGGACAGACAGACGTACGGCGTGACAGACAGACGGACAAGTGCAACGCTATATGCTCCCACTCTGTGGGGGCATAAAAAAAGTTATTTCTTGTTCCATACAATTATCTCTATTTCACACAGGAGTCACATTCAGGCTTACCTCAGCACTTCCTAGAACTTGGTGTACCATGACCCGTGAATTTGGCAAAGAGTTTCGCATCCCTGGTGTACCTGCAGCTAGTAACAATGAGCCCATACTTGCAGCTTGACCAACACACCATGTGGATACTGGTGGTTGAATGTATTGCATTGTGTCGTATATGGCAAGACCTGCTGTTACCACACCACCTGAAGAAAGAATAACAATTATAGGTCATTTAACAATGACAAATACAATAAGGAATATAATTATAGAGAATAATCAAGTTACTTCTATAAATAAAGGATTTATTTTCATCAAGTGGTATGAAAATAAATATTTCATGAGCGGCAGGAGCAATATTTTTGTTGCACTTATAAGCTATAAGAAAACTTTGTATCTTATTTTATTATTTTCAATGTAAATTAACAACAAATTGTAAATTTTATATAACAATAGTAATTTCGTCATTTTTAAAAAAAGAAAAGAAAGTTTTTTGGGTTCTTTTTACTTTACATTGAGTTTATATGAAATTTATGTTTAAGATTTTATATCCGAGTCCGCTCTATAGGGAGAGCGTCATTTTAGTAATCCAGGGATAGCTTATCCAATCCTTGTTGAAATTTCGCCATGACAATTGCTTTCAGACATCAAATCTTATAGACATTTCTCACTCACTGCTGATTTAGAAATCATGTGGGATTAATAGGCAGTCACTTGCAGATGTGTTTGAAATTTCTGGTTAGTAATCCATAAAAGCTGGTCATATGGATTGACCAAAAGGATACAACCAATTAAACAAACAAATAACCTTGTCCAATATAAACTAGACTGAACAACTTACTAGGGGTATTAAATTTGAACAGTAAGTCTTTTAGAATTGAAAAAATTACCTATTGCACATCTGTACAGATTGGCCAGGCTCTATTCTGTTTACAGCTCAGTTTTTGTATTCTGACAATGAAATCCCTTAAACTTTAAATGGACTCTTCCAAAAATAAACAAGGCAATAAATTATTTTTCAGTTAAAGAGTCCTTCCATGGCATTACTTTAGGCACAAGAGAACACCTCAGTAAACTTATCACCCTGGAAAAACCATCAACATTTCCAGTATAACCATGAACCTTGCAACACACCTGAGTAAAACGGAGAACCTTCAAGGAAACTGGAGTAAAACCAACAACCTTGCCACGCACCTTAGTAAAACCATGAACCTTGTCACACACGTAGTTAATACTATGAACCTTCAATAAGCTAGCTGGAAAGCCTAACTGAATCAGATACATACAATTCAACTGCTCAAGAAGAATTAAAAATCTCAGAGGTGAAGGCTTGGTAACCTTGCAATGGGTAGCCCCTGTAAAAACTTACCAGGACTATTGATATACATATTTATAGGTTTACTGGCACTCTCTGACTGTAAGAACAACATCTGTGCAATGACAGCACTAGCAATCTCATCAGATATCTGCAAATATAAACATCCAAATTATACAAAATATCCACATCACTAAAACTTATCAGACAACAGAATTTTAAAAATGCTGTTTCAAGATTGTCAATTCATTCAGTACCGTTTTAAAGGATTCCACTAAGTTTTTTTGACATGACAGGACCGAAATTTTATTTTTTTACATTGCATAATTTGATGAAGGTCTAAACCAATAACCTGTGTGTAAAATTTCATAATCATATCTATTATCATAAATTATGCTCACTCTGTTTTTCCAGGAATATTATTTCAATTGTGAATAACCTTAAAATGAGAAGTTTTAAAATGCTTTGAACTCAAATTGGGCTGAAAATTGCCCAAAAAATATTATTTCCAATTAAATTCTGAATATACATGTATTCCTTAAAATGTTTTGTATTATTTCAGTAGTGTTAATGTTGTGATCTTGATTAACAAATTTGCTAATTTTATAAATAAACACTTTAGCTAACAGATTTTCTAGCTTAATTGCAAATTGTTCATCTTTCAATGTCAATGTTCAACATAGATCAGCCTTTTTTCGTGTCATATTTCAGAGTAATAATGTTAAAATATGAACATTTTAAAGTGTTTTTATTTCTTTCAACTATAAAATGTTTTTGAAGGGAGCTTTTGAAATAATAAGGAATTAAGACGGTAGTTTTTCTGTCACCCTCTGGAGGAATGCTGCTTTAAAACCTAGTGGAGACATATTTTGGGCAAAAAATATCTTATTATTAGTCCCATATAAAAGGTATTTAACATCTTATGAGTCCTCTGTATGCAGACATTTGGGAACACTGAGAAATACCTTACTTGTCCCATAACCATGATGATTCTTTCTTTTAAAAGTCTGGAGTAGATATCATAAGACCGCTCCCCAGTCCGTGTCTGCTCAACAACAATAGGAACATAATAAGGTCTATGGACACAACCTGATATATGAATATGCCTTGATAACATCTGTCTGCAAATTGTTACCTGAAATTACACAAGATATTTTTTTATTATTATTATTCTTTTTTAATCAAATGCATGAAAACTTTACAACAGTTCATCACTGTTTCAGAATTATGATACTATGGCACTGTTGTAGTAGTTCAAGTATGTTAAAGTTGATTATCAAACCAGTACTGTGAATCAATGCTTTGGGGAGAATATATTCTTGAGTGCCCTGTTATCGCTTATGCCTTAATTCACCGCCATACTTGTTTACTTCCCTTAGTCTGGTGAAATGTGTTAAATTTTTTTAGCAAACACACAACTTTACATTCCAGCATTAACCAAAATGTAATAAGGTAAAAAAGGCAAGTATAGTGTAAACTAGAAATGTGTCCAAAGGACACGGGTGCCCCCACACGCCACTGTTCTGTCAATCTTATGACTCTAGGTCAAATATTTTTTAGACTACTTGTGCCACAAGTTGTAAACTAAAAATCTTTTACTAACTTTACAAATAGAGAATAAATCCTCAAGCAAACCCCAAGGTGCATAAGTACACATGCTGACCAACATTGTTGTAAACTTTCAGGCCTACAAGCCAAATACTTTTTGAGCTATGCATGAACAAGTTGAAAATTGCAAGTTTATACTACTGTAAGTCAAGGGCAATAACTCTAACAAAACTGAAAAAAATCCACATGCAAAGTCCCAGGTCGTAGCTTCACAGTGATGTTGATCATTATTCCTGTAAAGTTGCTTGATTCTAACTCAAGCACTCAAGGAACAAATAACAACATAATGAAACAGTTTTTACTAAGTCAAGGGAAATAACTCTACAAATACTGAATAAATCCACAAGCAAAACCCCAGGTGTATAACCACATATGCTGAGCAACCTGCCCATAAGGTTTAATGACTCTATGTCAAATCCTTTTTGAGTTACATGTGACACAAGTTGAAAATTGAAGAAAATTTTCTAAGTCAAGGGCAATAACTCAAAAAATACTAAATAAATCCAGACAAAAATACCCAGGTGCACAACTACACATGCTGATCAACATTCCTGTTAAGTTTCATGACTATGTCAAAACCTTTTTGAGTGACATGCGACACAAGTTGAAACTTTCAAAATTTTACTAAGTCAAGGGCAATAACTCGAAAAATACTAAATAAATCCACACAAAAATACCCAAGACTGAGGTGCACAACTACACATGCTGATCAACATTCCTGTAAAGTTTCATGACTCTAGGTCAAATACTTTTTGAGTTACATGCGACACAAAAGAGAACGGACGAACGGAAGGACAGACAAGGGTAAATCTAAATGCCGCCACTAAAGTGGGGGCACAAAAAGGCAAGTATTTTGTAAAATGTTAAATAATCAATCAAGTATAAAATGGCATACAGTTTGTTGGCCCTAAATTTAGACAAATTATCTATAAACTTTTTGGGATGTTTTTTGACTGGCAAAAGCATATACAGCATGTAATTAACTAAAATTACATAAATATGCATAAAAGCAAAGCCACAAGCTAAAACATTATCAGATTATGTAAGGTAGTCAGACTATTCTCTCCCTTACCAGTTCCTACCCTGACGTTTCCTCCCTGACGGTTCTCTCCCTATTTTGGGAGAGAACCGTCAGCACATTTGCAAATAAGCAGACAGTTCCTCCCCATTTTTATTTTTATTTATACATTATTTTTGAAGTATTTTGATGTTAAGTAAATGGGTAAATTTATTATTAATTGATATAAATTAGAAAATATTGAAGTATTTAGATGTTAAATAATTGGGAAAGTTTATGATCATTTGATAAAATAGAAAAAAAAATTTTTAGCATGTAATTACATGTATATTATTCGGGTATAGATGGATACCGAAAATAAGCTATTTTCGCGAAAATAAGATCGCGGCTACGAAAATAAGATTTATTTTTTAAATAGTGCATTTATCTGTTGAAATAATTATGTAAAATATATATTTATGCATTCATTGAATGATGTTACAGCAAATTAAAATTTCAGAACCAAAAAAATATTTTACAAAAGTGAAGTTTGAGCCGAAAATACTGTCGTACGAAAATAGCTCAGAATTGCCGTTAAAGCGAAATAAGATCGGGTCTACGAAAATAAGATTTATTTTTTGATATAATGTATTAGAAACGTATTTTTTTTTTCTTAATAATTTATTTGTATGAATAAAATAATAAATTTCAGAACTAAAAATATATTTAAAAAAGTTTGAGCCGAAAATACTATTGTGTGAAAATAGCTTGAATTGCCGTGTAAATCGAAAATACGATTGGGTCTGCGAAAATAAGATTTATTTTTGATATAATGTATCAAAAACCATTTTTGCTGTTATTAAATGATTTGTTTGAATGAAATAATAAAGAATAATTTTTCTTTTTAATGATATATTATAGACGTTTGTGCGGCAAATATGGTAAATATTCCAAATTTAGTATAGTAAGAACGCATTAACATAAAACCAAGATGGTATGTTCGAAAATATATGAAAATATATATATATAAGATTTACATGGTTCATAACTTATATTAAAATAGTATTAACTTTACTTTTAATGATTTTGCAAATAAGTTTTAAGAATGAATTGCAAATAAGTTTTAAGATCTTATAAGACAAGAAATGCTTGTGGTAAAAAAGTATCAAAATAAAAAAACGAACTATTGCAAAAACAACCTGAAACAACGATCTAGATTTATATAAGAATAGGTACCGTACGAAAATAAAGTCATAACAGTACTCTACGAAAATAAATATTTTAATGTCTGTATAGGAATAAGATTTATACGAAATAATATATGTATGATAATAATATCTTTATCAGAATGATATGAAAAACGACTCTATATGAAAATAATGTCTTTATAAAATAAGATCTCTAACGAAAATAAGATCTGTGTAAAAATATATTTTTTTGATAACAAAATCTGTAAAAAAATCTGTAAAAAATAAGTTATCTATATGAAAATTTGATATGATTGGTGACTATGATAAACCGCCAATAAACACCTTTAATACTATTTGGGAAATAACCATGTATGCCGCATAAACGTCTAATATTTCATTACAAAATACTTCATTCTTTATTATTTCATTCATACAAATCATTTAATAACAACAAAAATACGTTTTCAATACATTTTACCAATTCTGATTTATATTATTTCATTAGATTTAATGTATATTTTTTAATGTGTTTAGTCATTGAAAATAATTAATGAATAATTTACTTGATTAGGATAATCATTAGATATTAATTATTGTGTGTTCCTTTTTTTTAATAAATAAGAATAAAATTTATAAGAAAAAATGATGAATGAATTTTAATTGCTAAATTCCATTCTTTTGTATAATGAAGAAAGGAGTTCAATACATGTACATATGTGCGTTATGTTTGCTGACAGATTTAATTAAGGTGTCTCCAGAATTAAGGTGTTGATTATATTAAAATAGCTGTAAAAAGGTGTTGATGAATAAGTATTTTTTATAAGTTATTTGATATTATATATTGTTTCATGTTTATTGTTAATGACAACACATACTTTAATCAATTTTGTATAAAAGTTAAAATGTGAAACTAATTGCATACCAGTTCTTGCTTATTTATTTTCAAGAAAATATTTGTTATCACCTTATTTGTTATTTTAAAGATGAATGAATATCAATAAACCTTTACAAAATTACAGGTGTATATCAGTCCAATAATCTTAATCTCTCACAATGAAGGTGTTGATAGGATTAAAACACCTGAAAAAGGTGTTAAATTTACAAAACACTTTTCAGATAAACAAAAAACATAAAATGCACTTAATTAAACACATTCTATTAATTATCTTCATTAAGAAATATTATTAGATTTTAAGTCAAAACTAAAATGATAACTTATAAAAAAATTGGGAGAGAACTGTCTGTATATTTCAAATTTGGGAGAGAACCGTCAGGGGAGGAAACGGTTTGGGAGAGAACCGTCAGGGGGAGGAACTGGAAAGGGAGAGAATAGTCTGTCATTCATTATGTAATGGTCATTTTAAAAAATTTAAACCTCTCGCGAATTCTAATGACAAAAACGAAAAACACGGTCTGTGTAAACTTTAAGTGATATCAAAATAAATATATAAAATATATGTAATTTATCTGAAATCATTATTAGAATATTGGAACCTGGCATAGCTTTTTCACGACGTTTTGTAACATTCTTCTTAATTTTCGCAAAATATCGCACCGGCTACTAACTTCCGGTTCATCCGAGATATTCCGAATGGACGTGTATGGGTAGCGACGTTTGCAGGCTTATTTTCTTTTATTTATGTCTTATTTCTGATTAAAGAAAAAATGACAGCAACGGTAAATAGGAAAGGGACTTTTATTCTATCAGAGTAAGGAATTTGATCGTCTGTGTTTAGCTGATTTAAAAAATATGTGTTTAAAAACAAGCCAACGCACCTGTTGCTAAGGAAGCTTTCTTAATTTTCTCTAAATATTTTTATATTTTTGCACTTGTATGTATTCAAATCCTTAGCATTTAACATTTTTAACGCATTGTTGTAGTTTTCATATTTCATTCCATCTGACTGGCAAAATTCAAAAAGGGGAAGGACGTCATCTAACTTAGATTCTATGGTCCATTGGCATTGCCATTATGTCCAATTGAGATTATTGACAGTCTATCAATTACCATAGGGCTATAAGCATGGAGCTTAAATGCAGTGAATCCGGGTCAGCTAGGCCCTAAAACATACTCGGCCCCCGAGTCAGCTCGGCCCTATTCCAACTCGGCACGGGTCAACTCGGCCCACTTTTAAAAATGAGTAAAGGACATCAAAGGACTCCTATTGTCACGGGCTATTATTATCAATCAATGTGTATGTTAAAGATACCGATTAATTAGGTGATAATTATGATTGGCTCATTCATTCAAATTTGATTAGTGACCACCTGCAATTAATTAGAAGCTTATGCTATTAAGGAAACACGTTTTTGTTTCATATTTTTTTGAAAATTACTTTACAAACAAAATGCATCTAAGGAAACACATTTTTATTATATCTATATTCACAGGCACAAGTATCGGACCTGGGAAGAAAAAATATGAAGTTATTTTATTAATCTGTTCATATTTTTTCTTCCCTGGTTCGATAATCGTGCCTGTGTCTATATTAATTTTATCGAATCTGCAAGACAAATAAATAACTTTTTTTTTCTAAATATACTTTATTTCAGCAGAGGTACAATGTATAATTATATAATAATAATAAGATATTTCTTATTATTCATTTACCTTAACAACATGCAAAGCAAAGTAAATACGTTATAGGCCTATATATTTTTGTAAAGTGGGCCGAGTTGACCCGTGCCGAGTTGGTATAGGGCCGAGTTGACTCTTTTCCAATGCAGTTATTATTATCAAATTTTATCGATGAATTTGCATTCAGACAATTTAAATATCAAAGGATTGTTAAAATCTTACACAATTTAATTTTAATATATTTCTCTTATTTCCATTCTTTACTTCCAACAAAAACTGTTACATCTATTATTATTTGTATCTAGTTGTCACAGGGTAAGAAAAATGTGCAGCCTGACTGGGACTCGTACCCTGGACCCTCGGAATACCATATCGCGGCTCTACCCACTGAGCTATCCGGCCGCTTTCACATCTTTTCCCCTAAATAGTGAACAGTTCTGAACCATGACATACTCCCCCGCTATATTGAAATTCGTCCTCGAATTTCTAATATGGAAAGAGAACATTGTGAAATTGAACTTGGACCTTATACCATCATGGCCCCATGTTTGGCGCCAAATGTCACAGGGTGAGAAAAATGTACAGCCTGACTGGGACTCGAACACAGGACCCTCAGAATACCGTACTGCGGCTCTACCGACTGAGCTATCCGGTCGCTTACACATCTTCTCCCCTAAATAGTGAACAGTTCTGAACAATAACATAGTAGTTTGGCTAATGTCTCATATTTATGGAAAATCAAAAGCAATTAGTAATCACATGATTAAAAGAACTAATTCATATTAATGAAACGCAAAAGATGTTTTCAATACAGCAGCCAATTAGTGCCAAATATGGATGTTGTCTTGACATGATAATTCATGATGATGCTTATGCTTGAGTCGCAGAATACTTTTTGATATACTTTTCAGTAAAATTCTATTAAAATTTCAGTCCAGAGCCAATAAGGGAGTCTGGATTAGACAAGCAAAATGTTATGCGACTTAGAATCAACAGAATTGCACTTGTTCAAGAGCTACGTGTCGAGCACATTCTTGGACACTTGGTAGAGTGTGGTGTATTGTCGGAAGATGACTTGAAGAGGATTCATGCTGGTTCAACCCAAGCTGATAAAGCAAGAGTTCTTGTTGATCTTCTTCCAAGTGAGTATACCAGTACAGTGCAATCTCTACAGAGCAACCCTCTGTTAGCAAGAACCTCTTTACAAAGTCAAGTAAATATAAAGTAGTTAGTCTAAATAATAGATTTAACTTGTCCAATCTAAAATGAATTATTATTTCTTAGATATTTATGCTTTCAGAATTAAATTAGTCAATGTAGGTGATATTTTTTTGGTTAGGATGAATGTGATGTTTGATTATTATTATATCTGAAAAGAGATTTGTATTTTGATAATTGACTATATAAGAGATGTTTCAAATTAAAGTTTACCGGTAATTTATTTCTACACAAGCTAACAGCTAACAATAAGCCCTGACTAATAATGTGTTGTTAAATACTGGCATTTTAGTTATCAAGGAAAACCAGTTAGGAGGAGACCACTGAGATATGAACAAAAATGTGTTTAAAAACATGGCAAGTAAAAACTAGGCAAACAAACTTGTTATTAATAACATTATTTATTGTTGTTGTTTTGTTGTTTTTTTTCAGCCAAAGGACAACATATTGATTGGTACAGAGCTTTTAGAGAAGCTCTACAAAACCCTGATGCTGGACAGGAAGTGAGAAAACGATACAAGCTGTTGGTAGAATTTCTTGACAATACTGTTATCCATAGACCAAACTCACAGCATACCAAGTTTTCTGAGGTGGAGTCACCAAGGCATAAATTACCTAAATATAGACCACTTCCTTCAATAAAATCCCCAGGTAAGTTTACTATTCAATCAATTCCAATCCTGCCAGGGACTGGATGTTATTTTGTGAGAAAGCTATCTGGTTAGTTTACATAAGAATAGCTTTTTTCTCTCAGATGCCTGCTTATGTCTGATTTATGCTTAAAGAACAATTAAAACAAAAACAAACAAAAAAGATGGTTCGTTGTTGATATGACTTTATACATAGTTTTTATATAAATTTTATGAATATCTTGGAACTAAAAGTTAAACAGATTTAATTGATGAACACTTCATACAATTAACTCATCTTGTTCCATTTAGAGAGTGATATTTGGTTTTTAATTATATCTTTTGTATTAATCCACGGAACAGTCAGTGTTTATTTATTTCATTATAAAGTTTCTTAATACACATGCTATTAACAGATGGTCAAGCACAAAATGTTCTAAATATAGAAGAGGAGAGAAAACAAGAGGAGGAGAAGGTGTTGAGGGAGATTGAGGAGAAAGAGGAGAAATATCCGACATGGAGTGGCAGATTTGAGAAGACTAACGATGCTGTCACACTTGTTAAAGGTTACTTTCAACAGTGGATTCCAACTCCAGACAACTTCCGATCTCTTCTTACAGTAAGTCTGAAATGTGATGTTTTTGTGATGGTCCATGTAGTGTCCTGAATACATGCAGACTCGTAAAGGATTTTTTTTAATGAAAACAGTCCGATGGGAGAAGTTATAGCTTTTAAACTATACCAGTGTAACATAACAGTTGACTTCAAAAGTACGGCAGTGACCAAGAATGTGTTATACTAAGGAGGCAGGGCTTATTATAACTGGCTTTAGCATGCTAATTACTTGCAACTCATGTTGTCCTCATTATGGTCCAAAGGGTCATATAATTTGCTGGTAATAAATGTCCTTATATATTATCCTATGCTGACTTTACTTCTTCCTTCTAAGTTATTATGTAATAACAGCCTTGTATTGAATACTTTTTGTAAAATTTTCAATAGGAATTTTTTATTCGAGATTTTTATGGTATTAATTTGAAAAAGCAACATTTATTCTATTAAAAGAGTCTGTTTTCGCTTTAACTGCATGAAAGCATTCAAATTTACTGTTATCACAATAATTATATCACATTAAAATGAATACACTGAAGAATGTTTAAATAATTAAGTGCAGCTGTGCTTGTTACTTTTATATTGATAGGTGTATACATATGGCTTTTGTTAAAACAGGAAAATACATATTTGCATGTACATTATATATAATAGATTGTTGCTGTCCAGTATACACTGGATAGGTACAAATGATTGGTCAGCTTGTCAAAGTTTTTGCTTGTGTAAAATATTTATTATCATTTTTTTTTCCATAGATTCCAGAGGAGCATTTTCACAAGTTGGAGAAATCCGCAGACCCTGCTGACAGAGAGCAACTGGAACAGGAGTCACAAGCTCTCGAAAAAATAAAGAAACTTGAACTTGTAACTGTCCTTTCAAGGCGTAAAATGCTTCCGGTCGGCTTTGAACTTTGCATGTGTGACATCGTCCAAGAAATTCTTCAGGAACCAAAATTTTATCATCTGTATTTCAAATATCTTAAATCGCTCGAAAGTGTTGACGTTAACTTGTTACAAGATATTGTCAGTTCATTTTACTCGGTTCTTAAAAGCAATAACAAGGTCGCAAGGAATGCCGACAGTGTAAAACAATTCACTTCATTAGCATTTTCACTCATTGATTTTATGACGGAATATGGGTACTATACAGACGCAGAGAAAGTGATGTCAATATTAATGTCCTTCTTACGTGAATCTCACCATTTAGATATTTGGATGACGAAGTATCGTGGATACGTAAAACTTATGCATTTGCGGAATCGAAACTACAATTTCATCGGAGCCAGTCAGGCTTATCAGGCAGCAGTGGAAATGACGTGGCAGATAAAAATGATGTCATTCGGACAGGATATTATCAACGAAGCGGAAATATATACAGAACTGAGTCACATGTTGCTTGAACTTGGTTCTGTAAATCCAGCATTCTCATGGTCGCAAAAAGCTCTCAAGGTATTGGTGCCCCGCTTTGTTGATTCAGTATATGATAGTTTAAGTATATGCTATATTAGATACATTTTTGTAATTTTTTGTCATTTGTATATTTGCAAACCACTTTCTTTCAATGAGCCCCTTTATCCAATTTAGTTTGGAAAGCATCGGCTATTGGCAATACCATCATCAGTGCTTATAATTTTCCAAATATTTGTGCTTGACAAAAACTATTTTTACTACAGGAAGTGAAGTCATGTGATAAAGTGGTGTTGATCAATACATTGTGCAATGCAGTGATGGCATACTGTGCAAAATGGCAAGTAAAACGTGCTGAAAAACTGGCAATATACACTGTACAGCTTGCAAAGTAAGAATTATCTTTTCGTCTTGTTACCATCCTTGATCCACAACACTGTATTGATTGTGTCCCTGAGGCTAAAAATAGATTTTTTTCTTTTCAAATTAACACAGATGTTAGTTAATTAACACAGATGTTACATTTATAATTATAAGTTTGGCTTTAACTGAAATGAGGTTAGAGTTACAGAGTTGTAAACACTATCCTTTTTGTCTTGTTTGAAGCCTAAACCTGTTAAATTTGTGTAATGGACTTACCTTGCTTTGAATTTGGAACAGTCCATTTAGAAGTTGAAGGGATTTTGGTAATAAAATACTAGTATTAAGCAGCAGATAGTAAAAAAAACCTGGTCAGACTGCATGGATATGTGTCTGGCCTGACTTTAAACTTGTGTAATAGTCAAGACATTATCATTGCTATATTTACACACCCGTATGTTTTTTTCCCGTGGTGAGTATAAACAAACTCAAGCACACACAAATGCTGTAATTACAGTGCAACCTGTGTTGAGAGGTCCTTTGTAAAGCAATTACAAATTAACTACAATAGTGTAAATTTGCCCCAAAATAAAACTTAAATATAAATTTCATCTTTCCAGAGCAACACCTCTCAATAACAACCAAAGGTTTTGACTCCCAAAGGGTGTTGCTCTGCAGAGGTTGAACGGTAGTTAAATCCCTCTTACTCATGATTTTGATAGTATGATAGTGCTTTGGTGTATGCAGATGTTTATTAATGTGGAAAAGATTTTGTTTTCATGAAAGCTGTATCAGAAGTACTTTTATTAATATTATATGTTTTAGTGAATAACAATTGATTTTACATAATGTATTGCAATGTATTTTAAAGTGTTTTTTTGTTTGTTTCTTTTTCCAGGCATCATTTTGGTCAACGCAATCCTCTGTATTTGAAGGCACTTTTACATTTAGTTCACTTTGCCACTGAGTTCAGACAAGATGAGTCATGCCTGCAGCTAGCATTAGTATGTCAGAAATCATATATATTTTTTATAATGGTTTAAGGTGTTTTTGTTAAAGTGAAATAATATACACCTGGGAATAAGTTAAACAAACCCTGCATTTTGCCTCAATTTTGACATGACCAAACTGATATTTTGAATTTTATTTATGCAATGGTATGAACTACCTGTAGTCAACCTGCAACAACTGGAACAAGCTCTGCACCAAAAATAACAAAATTAACCTCAATATCGCATAAGATGCCTTACTGGTAGTATGAGGAGAAGGGTTGAGGCAATCATCCGGGCATGTGGCGGTTACACACACCTACATAATGGCATTTTAGGTTACATAATTGTCAACATTTACCAAAAATATCCACCAGTAAATGTTTTGTAAAGGCTCCAACACCATACCTATTACATTTTTGGTAAAAAAAACACATTTGCTTATTCTTCAATTATTTGGTTAACAACAAACTAAACTTGTAAATTTATTGGTTTATGATTACTAAATTGGTATCGCTACTTATCAAATTACTATTTCTTTGCTCAATTAAGTTGTCATCTCAAGACAGTACTTTCAATCACAACCAATTTAAGATATCCGGGGTGTGCTTAACTTATAAGAATTATTCCATGCAATCTATAAAATGTGTTAAGCTTTACATCCATCAGTACATCCATGCTGTCATATCTTGGTCTGCACTGGTTGTGTGGGTAAATTTGGGTGTCAACAGCAGGCTAGCTAAAACTTAAAATAGAAAAGTAATTTCATGAATTTACAACAGCTGTGTAGGTAGGAGAAACATCGCATTGTAATGAACGGTTCTGATAAAATAACGCTTCCGAGACAGATATTTTTAGCCAGTGATAGCGTTACGACTACTTCAGCATGGTATTGCTTGTTGCTATCCTGTTGGTCATATTGTCCTCACAAGCTATCACTTGGCAACATGAATATTCATCAATATTCATTGAAATCTCAACATCACAAATATCATTACATGTATTATATCACCTTCAGAAATGAAAAAAGCAAATGTTTCATTCACTTAGGTCATAAATTTATGATCATTCTTTTGAGTAGCTCGAAAAATACATAGAATAAATCATTGCTGAAAAAAATTCCAAGTAAAGTTATTTTTGATTTTTCTAGTTTTCCTTATCAACTGCGAAGAAGATATATTGTTGCGACACTATTGAGTTGGCTTATGTTCATCGAGCAGTCAGTAAGGCCCTGATGGTGTTACAAAAGTTTGATACAGAGAAATATTTCTATCATTCTTACGAGGCCCTGAGAATCGCTAAAAGAATTCTGACAGAGGATCATCCCATGTTGTACATCTTCCTTCATACCTCTGGTAAGTTGACCTATATATGCAGGAAGTAACCCTTATTCTGCTTACAAGACATACATACACTAGTACCTATAACAGTGCATGCTCTTATACCTACAATATGAGTATACCAGTCTATGTAGACATGTATATTAAAAAATATATCTTTATGAATTATTGATTTCTTTGACGTATTCGGTCTTCCTCAATCTGTAAAAGTAGAATCCTTGCCAAATGAGTGTCAAATAGTGTCAATATGAGTGACTTTAAACAAACGTAAGGAATTTTGAAACAATTTTTAACTAATGTCTTAGTAAGGCAAGAGTTCATTTGACCCATTATTAGAGCTAGCACCTTAATTCAGGGTTAAAACTTAAGGGCTCATTGAAGACATCTTAATTACTACACCTCTGGTCCTTGAAAGTTTGAAAAACAATAAATATGTAATATGTTTCTGTCTACAATTTAGATAATTTCTGTTTCCATCAACAGCATCAGCCTTGCAATGGAAAGCTTTCCACGCCAATAAAGAAACCCAGGATGCTACATTGAGACTTGCCGAGACCGAAGCAAGAAAAGCATTGGAACTTGTCATTCAACATTACGGAGAGGTCAGCTTAAGAACAGCGCAAGTCTATGCCTTACTTGGACAAGTCTATTCTAAAATGGATAGGTATGTATTAAAAATAAGTTTATAGGTTTTAAAAATTGTTTTTGGTTTTTTTTTTCTTTTAAGTTGCTTAAATTTCATGATGCTAAAAATAAACTGTCCATTGTACTATAAAGTCATTGGATTTTAATTATGAATAATTATGTGAAAGTTAATTTCATAATTTAATTATTGTCTGTTTGTATAAATGTTTGTTTTGTTCACATATATTATAGCTTTCACTACAGTATATCACCAATGTAGAACTTTTCATTTTTCACGCTATTAGGGAAACTTTACCAGACAGCAAGAAACATCCGTAAGTGATATATCCATATCAACCCATATATAAATCCTTTCAAATGTGTATTTTTCCTTTTTTCCCTCCTTTATCCCAATCCTAATTTTTGTACTCTTCTTAACCTCTTAAAAATATGTTATGATATTGAATCTGCTGTGAAAATATTCAATTATGATACTGTGAATTACATGATATATTGTATAATTAATCATAGAATTACACTGTACATGATATTTTATACTCATACAATTACATGATCATGTGATACTTACTATAATTACATGATTGTTCTTACAAGTAAATGATATCCCATACAAGTACTTGATGCCTCATGTAATTAAAGACTATTATCCTATGAGTTTCTAGTCCATAGCTATTATAGTTTAGGAGAAATGACCTGACAAAAATAAAGTATGAAAATTAACAAAGGGCAATAACTCAAAAAATAAGAATGTATATGTTATAATATAAAAGTAAAAAGGTCAATGGTTGATAAAGGTTTAGGCTAATAAAAGTCAAGGACTGTCAAAGGTCAAGGGCTTATGAAGACAACATGAATGATAATTTGGCATTATTATAAATTCTTAATACTACATATTTTCAAAAGAAATGAATTGCAGTAATCTGCTGCTTAAACTTTCTTTTAACAAAAGTGAATAGTGGACCTATGTCCAAGTATTTGGCCAGTTTTGGCAGATTTAATACTGTTGTCTGCTTGATTTTATTAATTTGATACTGAAACCTTTTAAATCAATAAAAGACCAGTCAAAACTCAAAGAAGGACAAGATGTAATGATGTTTCAGGTATATAGAAATACCTTATTTAGGTATTTTCCAGCTAGTAATGTTGCATAGAACCTGAAATCATTTACCTTTAAATAGCAACATTTGTGAGTCACTCTAGTTTTAAATAAAATTACCTTTGCGTCAAATTTGTAATTTTACAAGATATCTACAAACAACTTATTGAGTGCATTGAATTGCCTGATTTATGCGTGCTTATGGCTATAATTAATAGGTCTTTGCCACAAGTATAGATAATCTTAAAGGTCAGATTACACATGTATATAGTCTGGGTACTGTTCGATGCTCTGTGTTAATATTTCACTATTGAAATTAGCAGAGGTGAGGGTTTTTAAGGTGACAACAACCTTAACAATTAGGTCATGAAATCTTTTAACCTATTTTACTAAAGCAAGTCTATTACAAAAGTTCAGCAAAGTATGAGGTTAAGTACATATAAAGGACTTGATTTCTATAGAAGAATATAATCAGTAAAAAAACTGTTGTCCAGTCTTCATTCAGTTTCTTATTGGTTGACATGAATTCCTATAAATTGCCCTTTATATGCACACATTTTTTTATTTTTGATAAGCATCTTGATAAACAGAGCAACAGACATATGCTTTCACAGAAAATGATCATTTCATATAATGCAACTTTGAATTTTATTGGCTAGAAGTAGAGATTGTGTTGTTATTGTCATGTTTTTTTTTTTATTTATTTTTTATTTTGCATTCAAAAAATCAAAGTCAGATTTGATGCTTAACAAAAGTGTTGAAAAATAATAATTTTTTTAACTATATAATGTTAAACTATTGACTAAATGTACTGGGTTTTTTTACGGCATATTTTTTATTATTTACTTATACTTATACATACTCTATGAAAAAGTAATTAACTGGTGATGACTTAGAAAGTAGAGGTTTTAGTACCTTTGATTGTTTAATAGTTGTATTAATACTACCTGACCTAAGTTCTGAGTATATTTTCAGGCCATCAGTGTATTGTGATCTAATCTTTTTACTTTTTCTCTGCTCAGTGATTTAAAATTGACATCCCTTAAAATTCTAATGAACTTTTCCAAACTAAAAGTCAGGCATGTCCATTATTCAAATTTAGTAATGTATGGCCTCATTACATTGTTTTTGTTATATATCAGATTACAGTTAGCGGAAGATATGATGCAGACAAGCGTAGCATTGATGAAACTGTGTCAGCCAAGCAACAGTTATTTCCGGCTCCTGGCCGCAGCCACCCTCGGAACTTTCTACAAAATCACAGAGAAACCAAAAGAGTGTATCATGATATTGAAAAATGTAGTTGACAATGTTGGTATGTATATAACTTTATGTGTTGCATTTGGGCCAAAGACAATTGTAATTATATAACTCCTCCTTTTTTTTTAATTAATGAACTGAATCACTCACATCATAGGTGTTTTAGTTTTTTGTTTTGTTTTCTTCATTTCAAATTTTTAGATAAAAAAGCTGTTTTGTTGAGAACCTTTTTTATACTTAAAATCTAAAATGTTTATTTTTCAATTATTTTTGGCTTATTAATTAGCGGTTCAAATATTGATAATAAATTGCAAAAATACGATGACAAAAAAATGTAACTTAAATGACAATTTGATAATGTGCAATACTTCATTATATGAAACTGACAAATTTTTCATTGAATTTTCATCTATAGCAAGCGTGGATCATTTAAGAGGTATAGTTGATTATAGCTGCATGGATATATTAGAATACTGTTTTAGAGCAAATTGACAGATACTATCTTAATTGCTACACTGAAAAATCCACAAAATGCATGTAGTCTGATGTGGCTTATAGTTGCTAGTTGTCCTATCACATTTACCTCCCCTCTCTTGTAGCACCCCATTGATATTTATTTCATTAATTACATACATACAATCATGTATATAGAGGATATTGAATGAGTGTAGATTTACAATGTAATACTAAATTTATTGAACAAGTTGAATAAAATCATATGCAAGCCTTTGGCGAGCATAATATTATTTTATTCAACAAGTTCTATAAATTTAGTATTGAATAAACACAAATATAATATTCTATTTATTACATGGGTTATTACATATCTAAAATAAGAAAGTTTTTCTGTTAAACGAGTCATTTTTCAATGAAACACAGATAGACTGTGTTACGCAAACATTAGCGCGCTTTAATGCTATGTTTCTTTATATTGTAAATGATATCGCGTCAAAGTGTTATTACACTTGTGTAATATTGTTTTTATTAAATGGGTTTATTACACTTGTCATATGGCTTATGTGATAAATGTGTAAACAAATTACTCCACCATTTAGAAACAGGGTTTGAGAAGGAAGTTAATGACTTTTGTATACCTTTCTCCCTTTTAATTGTTTCTCATGTTAAATATGTCAAGGTCATTGGGTCTAAAAATAGAATTTCAACTTTTCCTCATAATACGGCCATATTTTTAGCTTTGTCAAAGCAACATCATAGAATATCATCGGATATATTTGTTTTCTTTTGTGTGTTTGCATTAGCAAAGTTTTGTGTGCTTGTTTCTAGGTATTTCATCATCTTTCAGCTTGTGATTGTTCTGCTTAAGTCTATCAATATTGGCACTCCTTCTGGACAACTATAATGGAAGCTATCCTTCTAAGTTTAAAATAAATGTTTGATCTACCCAGTGTCGGGCTTGTTATTTCCTTAAGCAGATATTAACACAATGTTTTACTCTACGATGCTGCTCCAATATTTAAGTATAAAATCCTTAACCTGCTATATTTATGTTAATGAATTTGCTCTGCTGTAAGAGGTCCATCAGGTTCAAGGTTTTCACTGCTAGTGACTTGTCTGTTTTTCCATGGATGTTGTTTCATTATACACTGAAGTAATTTGAATATGTGCATTTTTAGCTTCACTTTTCAAAGAAAAAGTTGAATATCAATTCTTATGACCCATGGGTCTAATCTTTCTTGGTTAACCTATTTTTGGTTAAGTATTTGTTAAATGGTCATTTATTTATTATTTACAATGGTATTACCAACTGAGAAAAGTGGAGTGCACTGGTCCACAGACAACTCTATATATAGCAGCTCACTGGACATTATGCTTTTATGTATGCACAAAAAAAATGTTATCATAGTTTTGTTGAATGTCATGTGTTGAAAACCCAGTAACAATTTACACACCGTTTTATCCTTCCATAAATATGTATATAGAATGAGCAATTTAGCCTCAGTCTTAGATAGCATTAATATGACAATATTGACCTGAATATACTAAATATAGTAGCTATAATGTGATGTGTTCTGTGCATGGAAATAATACACTAAGATGCATCTTTGTTACTGAGCAACCACATTAAGCTTAGAATTCTATGTGCAGCATAAATAAAGTTAATATACCCAGGGATATCATATGCTATTAACCTCTTTTAACCCAAAACATAACAATATAATTAGTAAGAAGTGATACCAGTTACCTCCCTTTTTGCTGAAAACTTTAAAAGATCAATCAGATATTTTTGATACATGACAACAACATATTACAGTTATTGTTAAAAGTTTGTTTGCTAAATGTTTTCAATATGTTGCTTTCATACAAATTCGTTTTAATTTAGGTTCATGTTAAGTTTGGAGCTTTGGATTAAAAACTACATATATATACATTGTACCCAATTGTGTGGATCCTTATGTTAAAAAATATTAAGTCTAATAATAATTTAAATTACATTATTATATGATCTAAATATAGCTGCAATCTCATTGTTCCAAACGGTTGTTAACAGAACTTTTTATAGAATCATATTCACTGGGTGTAGTATCATATTCACTGGCTGAATTGGATTTTCCCAGTCTAAAAATAGATTGAGACTCATATATAATGACCATATATGGTAGACTGTTAATAACGTGTGCTTATTTAAAAAAAGAATTGTTGCCTTTTGTCCTCTCAATTAAAATATCATTACTTTACCGCCATGATGAGTATAAGCTTGAATTACTTTTGTATGCGCAGTGTTTGAGTAGTTGTTGCACGCCTTACACTTGCGTCTTTTTTTCCGCGCTTCAATGTTGTACATGTATAAAGTTCACCGTATTTTTCTGTACATTTTTGAATTCTTATAGCCTATTCATATAATAAAACAATTATTGACTAGTGTGCCATTGAATATGATGGTGATATTCACCGGCAGAAATTAAGTCATTTTGACCTCTGCTATCGCCTTGGTCAAATTATGTCATCTGCCGGTGAATATCACATCATATTCAATGGCACACTAGTCAATAATTGTATAATAATATTATTGTATTTTGTATTTGTTTAGCTTAAATGTGATAGGTGCTTGCTTATGCTTGATATTACACATGAAGGGGCTTTAAAGGTCCTCGAGCAGTAAACCCGGAAAGTCGTCAAATATTTACCTTTACAGTTCATTGTAATGACTTAAACCCACCAAAAAATAAAAATGAGTGCAGTAGATGTTGTGTTAAAGAAAAAAAACATTATTTTTTCGTCTAATTTTCAGAATCCTCAGGTGTATACATGAAGTGGATCCACACATGCTTTGAGAACCTCATCCACACATTACAATCACTCAACATGAACAAGCAAGTGGATAGCGCTCAAATACAGCTCTCTCATTGGCTGAGGGAGAACCCCAAATTGGATGGCACTGTCACCATTACAACACTTCATGAAGAACCTCAAAGCTTCGAGGAGTTCATGGAAGATTTCAACATTTGGGAGAAGAAAATGAAAAAAGCACTCAATTTTGCGAAAGAGTTGAAAGAAACGGAGGATGCTGTTGAAAAGGGCTACAAGGGTTAAAGTTGGCAAGTTGCCAAATGATTTATCGTTAAAACTGTTTATTTATTGATGTGTATAGAGGGCTAACTTTATTTTTGTCATAATTTATTGTTTCAAGTTGCTGCTTAATTTCTTTGAAACCACTTCTTGACAAAAAAATTTATTATATCAAGAGGTTTGATTCAGAATGCAATAATTGTTTCTGTATTTGATACAAATTAAGAGAATTTGTGCAGATGTTAATTTATTGTAAAGAACACTTTACCTTACTTCTAACTTTTGTTTCTTTATTTTATTAATTTTTAAAAATATTTTAGATCTTTACCAAAATAGGCAATGGTTTGCACTGTTCCATATTTCAAAAGTGTGCACTTATTTTGAGAATTTCAATGCTTTTTGACCAGATTGAAAGATGGACATGTCCAATTAAGATTTTAGGGTGTTACAGGTTAATTGATGTATATCAAGATTGCCAAAAAAGTAACCAATCATTATGGTTATTGCCATTGCTATTATTATAAATGATGTCAAAATGCCCTTTAGAATACAACGTGTTTTGAAAATGGCACTTATTGCCTGTCTTTATACTTTTATTTACATATTTATGTATGTGCTTGTATGTTTATGCTACTTTTTTTACGTGTAATACACATTTTAAAATAAAGATACCGGTAGATTGTTTTTGTTAGTGAATTGTTGTATGTTCGTTGTGTATCGTTATATAGGTGTTAAGAGTTGCTGTAAAGTTTTAATTTTTGTGGGCATTGAATTGATGAGTTTCGAAAATTTATCTATAATTGCTTATTCAAGTCTCAAACTTTGGGTGCCATGATACTAAATATTTTGCATCATAAGTAGGGGTGTCACAGCAAAAGGTGTTAACCATTTAAACAACAGCTTAATAACCCGATACAAAACGTTTAAAAGACTGTACTAAAATAATTTTTAGATTTAATCAACTTTGGTTTTGTATGATAAGATAGCACATTTTGTTCGTATTTTGTTAATACTCCAAAACAATTAAAAAAATATATCTGATTATGGAGAAACTGTTGTCCGTTAGAATTGTACCATAAACAATAAGATAGTATGCAATCAGAAAAAATACATTTGAAATAAAGACAAAATGTCATATCTTGTCATAAAAAAACAAAAGTAATACCAAATCTAAATTTCTTAATTTGTTGGTCTTATGCTTACAGTTTATGCTAGGTATGTAATATAATGTATGTCTGTTTTTGTTTTTGTTGTTATTGTTTTGTTGTTGTTGTAACTGTTGCTGCTGCTGCTTTAATTGCAGTACCAGTACTAATAAAACATTCCATTTCATTAATTTTGTTTATTGGGTAGCTAGAATCTGTGATAAATTTATCTAAATGTTTATATATTTATTTTTTAAATGTTTGAATAGTTTTTGTTTTGTTTTTTGTACATTAATTATTTTAATATTTTAAATTGGATCTTTATCAACTTTACGTTTTTATTACCTATATTAATAAATGAATCAACAGATTGATTTGTTTTAGACAGATAATTGGAATTTTATCCCAGAATTGCTCTTTACTCCATGTTTCTTGTATCAGAATTCAATTCTTTTTAACCCATGTAGCTTTTTACTCCATGTTTCTTGTATCAGATCCCATGTAGCTTTTTACTTCATGATTCTTGTATCAGATCCCATGTAGCTTTTAACTCCATGCTTCTTGTATCTGATTTCCTGCTTTTGCTTTTTTAAGATGAAAATTCTCTGAATCACAAGTCTTTGCAAATCAAACAGACACACAATGCCGCAGAAATTGATATTAATATTCTTTTTTAGAAAAGGAAAACATGTGTATAATGTTGTAATAATGGATTTATAGCTTGTTAGATGCTTATAACTTTGGAATAAAATAATTTGTCATAGAGGTAGCAAAATGAAAACAAAATGGTATTTTGATGTTCATACAAAATACTAACTCTCTTTAACTATACTTAATGCTAAAATGTGATAGAAGCAACTGATGACTCAGCTTTATGGCAATTTGGCGTACTCTTGAAACTGTTAACCTGTTAACGGACACCATTGATAAAAAAAGCTTTTGGAAAATACAAATTAAAGCATTTTTTTTCAGGCTTAAAGAATTGGGAGAATTTTACAAGAGTATGCCCATCCAATCGTATATATAGTGAGTGAACAGGTGAAAGTCAAAATAAGTTTACATTTTGTAATAATTCCTTTCAGATTTATAATTTACTTTGCATCAACAATATGCAAAATATGACAAAATTTACTTTTTATATCATTTTGTCTTTACCCATCAACGGGCTATTTTTTACAAGCATATTTTGACACAATAAAGGTGTTTGGCATGGGTTCTGATTGCCTAATGCTTGCTTATTTTTACATTATTTGTTTGTATAATCTAAAACACTATAAATTTCCATTAAAAAACATAGCATGAATCTAGTGTTATTTTTTTAGTGATTTTTTTTTTCTAATTTTAATTTGTTTATACAATGTATAGCCTTTCACAGTTCATATATTCAATTTTTAACCTATTTGTAAATATTTCTTCTTTTCTTTTAGAGGAAAAAGTGTTACTTTATATAATGTTTTTTTGCATGTATTTATTCAAAGAATACAATAAATTTAAGTAATGATATAGAGTTGATTCTTTTATGAAACCAGTTTCACTATTTTTAGCTCACCTGAGCTCATGCATGTGTATGAAGGTGGCTTTTCATTTTTCATTCACAATTGTTTTCGGGCATATTATGTTATACCCCCTATCGTCCGTCCGTCTGACCATCCGTCCGTTAGCTATTTGGTTTCCGGAGCATAACTTAAGTTCCATTTGGCCCACAATATTCAAACTTCATAGGATGATTGTCCATATCGGGTAGAAGACCCCTATTGATTTTGGGGTCACAAGGTCAAAGTCACTATTACCTTAAAACTGAATATAGTTTCCAGAGCATTACTTAAGTTCCATTTGGCCCCCAGTGTTCAAACTTCATAGTATGATTGTCCATATTGGGTAGAAATCCCTATTGATTTTGGGGTCACAAGGTCAAGGTCACTATTACCTTAAAACTGAAAACAGTTTTTGGAGCATATCGTAAGTTCCAATTGGCCTACAATATTCAAACTTCATAGGATGATTGTCCATTTTGGGTAGAAGATCCCTATTGGTTTTGGGGTCACAAGTTCAAAGGTCAAGGTCACTATTACTTTAAAACTGAAAACAGTTTCTGGAACATAACTTATGTTCCATTTGGCCCACAGTGTTCAAACTACACAGGATGATTGTCAATATTGGGTAGAAAATCCCTATTGATTTTGGGGTCACAAGGTCAAAGGTCACTATTACTTTAAAACTGAAAATGGACAAAACTTACGTTCCATTTGGCCCACAGTATTCAAACTTCATAGGATGATTGTCCATATTGGGTAGAAGACCCCTATTGATTTTGAGGTCACAAGGTCAAAGGTCAAGGTCACTATTACTTTTAAACTGAAAACAGTTTCCGGAGCATAACTTAAGTTCCATTTGGCCCACAATATTCAAACTTCATAGGATGATTGTTATTTGAAGGAGGTAATACTTTATTTTATTCTCATGTCTTACAAATGCTTCATCTTTACTAAAAAAAAAAAGAGCTGTGTTTGCACGTTGGAAGAATAAATATGTAGTAGAGCAGAATAATTCAATTTTAATGAAAACTGATGGCTGAAGTGATTACAGATTTGAAACCAATGTGAATACTGATGGCTGAAAATAACAAAGGGCAATAACTGAAAAATAATGCAGGGTAAGTTACTTGTGTGCTGCACTCCTCCTCAATGAGATCTATCCACCTATGAAAATTCAAGTTGATATCTCAAAGGCTTTTATAGTTATGCTCTGGACAAAATTAAGCATGAAAAATAACAAAGGGCAATAACTGAAAAATTATGCAGGGTAGAGTTATCATTCTTGTGTGCTGCAATCCTCCTCAATGAGACCTATCCACATATGAAGTTTCATGTTGATATCTCCAAGGCTTTTTTAGTAATGCTCTGGACAAAATAACAAAGGGCAATAACTGAAAAATTATGCAGGGTAGAGTTATCATTCTTGTGTGCTGCACTCCTCCTCAATGAGATCTATCCACCTATGAAGTTTTAAGTTGATACCTTTAACACTTTTAGATAAGCTCCGGACAAAAAGTATGAAAAATAACAAAGGGCAATAACTCAAAAATTATAATGGGAAGAGTTATCGTTCTTGTGCACAGCATTCTTCCTCAATAAGATCTATCCACCTATTTAATATATCAAAAGAAGGTAGATTTAAGCTTAAATAAACAATTTCTAATAAAGTTTTTTTTAAAGTAAAAGAAGATTAAACATATTAAACTTATTATTTTTCATGGAGGAGGCGACTATAAATTACCTAGTTTATTGAGATATATAGAAAATAATAAGATTATTAACATTTGAGCCGCGTCATGACAAAACCAACATAGAGTGTTTGTGACCAGCATGGATCCAGACAAGCCTGTGCGTCCGTTCAGTCTGATCAGGATCCATGCTGTTCGCTTACAAACCCTATAACAAGTAGAGATACTGATAGTGAACAGCATGGATCTTGATCGGACTGCGCGGATGCGCAGGCTTGCCTGGATCCATGCTGGTCGCAAACACTCTATGTTGGTTTTGTAAAGCCCAGGTAAACAAATAATTTATATCAGGGTTCAACATTTATCATATTATGTTTAATTTCTCCTCTGACATGTTATAAGTGTTATTTAAGGAGTGAATAATCATTAAATAAAGGAGTTTAAGGACATTTTCTAGAATTTATTAACATTGTAGACCTATCACAGCACTTTTCATATGATTATATTTACACAAACTAAGTTTAAAACATATCATACTGTCATATAAGTCATATATGTATTTGTTATAAAGGGGAGAGCAGATAACTCCTGCTATTTAGTGGTATTTTTCATTTACTGGCTATAAAAGTTTCTTTTTTTCCTATAATTATTATCAAAGAATCTTATGTTGTATTTGGTTAGATTAACTCTTTTAAAATCTCAATAAGTTGTCTTCAATTATATTGGATATATCTTGTGTGTATAGAACTACTTATTCAGTTAATTTAATT